TGTGCTAAGATGCTTTGGGGAAACCTATTCATTGGCACTAGGAGTTTATCCATTCAAAAGCCAGTACAAATAAACAAAATATTGTCATTTTAGTGTTACTGTGTTAGCTTAATTAGCTTAGCTAGTGCATAAGCTTGTGTTAGCTTAATTTACAAAGCGCTTCTCAAGGAAGATCAGTATTTACAGTTACCATCTCATATCTGCTTCAGCCAACCAATCCTTCTAACATAGACAAAAAACACTTCTTCTACTGTATTTATGTTTATTGGTATTTATTGTATTATGTAGTATTTTTTTACCAGCACAAAAAGCATGCTTACTGCTGAGATAAATCATTTTAAACAAGATAAGCTGAACTGAAATATTATAAACTAGACAGCAAAAGCTGTTTTTGGGATCCTTCATTCAATGTTTCAAGTTTTTTCAGACAATTAAGAAGTTATTAGATTATAAATAATATACTGCAAGTACTTACTTAGAGTAATTTTTTGTCAAGTTACCCATCATAAAATTTGATTACCACTTTTGATACGAGACATTCTACACATTCATTTTATTACAACTTAATTCTTAATGTTATACAGCTTTACCAGTTATTTTACAATCTTCTATGACTCCATTCATCATTCTTGACACATTCAACTAGGGGTTGGCAATATGATGATATTTTATCATTATCGTGATAAATTATGTATTTGTACATTTTTCTGAGCATATTGTGGATATCGTCAATGCTTAAATAACACTGACTGACTAACGTTTCATTACAAAGTGAGCATAATTGGGCCTGTTTAATTAAATGTAGTACAGTGTAGTTTGTAAAACAAAAATAATTCTAATTGAAGATTTATTATTTGTTATTATTACTATGGTATTTTTATATTTGGCACTACAGATTCTATTTTGTGTGTTCCAACTTTTTAATTCTTAGAAAAACGAAATATTATGAAGCGTACTGTGTGAAAATGTCTCTATTATCAAGTATTGAATCAAGTATCATGATATAATATTTTTTTCATATCGCTCACCTCCGTATTCAATATTTCTTAATTTTGTTTTACAGCTTTCTAGCATCTTACTAATTTTTGAAACTTGTGAAACTTCACAGGAGTATCATATTAGAATCACTTTAAAAATGTATCTGTAACCTGGTGATTTTATATTATTGAAAATAGTAGTTTTGAACAAACTTTTGAAGAGCAGTGTACATATACAGTCTACTGAAAGAGGCTATGAGACTATACACCACAGCTTAATTCGCCCACAGTTTACAGCAGCATGCACTTGAGTAACAGTAATTCTGTCTGAACACATCTGATAATGTGGGTTGACAGCTTTAGCATGAAAAAACAAATCTTTTTAGCAGCAGATCTCACAACAAAACCCTATATAACATACTTTATCATCTGCGTCTGCATCTTAATCCATTCCGTCACACCACGACCATTCCTTTTTTCTTTTCATCTTTCTCCGCCGTTTCTTTTCTCTCTCTCTTTCTCTTTCCTCACCATAGCCGTGTCTGATCAGCAGCTTTCTTCTTTTCATGGCTATCAAATGCGAGAAGTTGGGAAAGTGATGAAGAGGAGCCGATGCGTGTCTCTTTGGAGGTGAACTCAGCTGACAACAAGCAGCTGAGCAGATGTGTGACATTCAGTAAGTGTGTGTGTGTAAGAGAAAGAACACAGAAGGTGTTATGATGCTAGTGCTGTTGATAGCAGGTTCACTTAAGCAGGCAGAAATCCAGGGTTGACTGTGTGATGAATTAGTGCTCATTAGTTCTTGAGTCTGAATACAGTACAGCACATTACCTCACTTAAGCTGTTCTCAAGCTTGATTAGTTTTACATGGGTAAACACTGTAAACGAATGCTTAAAGGTCACAGCATAAAGTAATTATTTCTTCTTCACAGCTTATTGAAACAAATGGAGAAATTCTACTGAAGGTCCAGATTTATCCAGCACCTTTGTTTGTAAGTAGAAGAGAAGTTTTATTATGATTTATGCAACTGTTACTTCCAATGACACAACCTGATTTATAAGGTTTATAAGCTTTCTACACCCCATGTGTCAAACACAAGGCCCACGGCCCAAATCAGGCTAGTGGCACAATCCTATTCGGGCTGCAAAATTATTTTTTATTAAAATTAGCCCATTTCACCATGAGCTACACTACAGTTCCCAGCATGCACTACAACATAATCTGTGCTCACACCCCTCCCCAGCAATGATCTAAGGGACAGCACCACAAAAAATAAATAAATAAATAAATAAATAAATAAACAAACAAAAAAAAAGATGCAAGGTGTCCAGTTCAAGCAAACAGGCAGCTTCAAAAAACCTATTGGGTAAATTTAAAGAGATTTAACAGCTATCTCCAGCTAATGTAGCCTACTGTATTATGTAAAACAATTTGTTTTTATTTAAAATTAAAAATTGTTCAAGTATTCTGTGCCTTTTCTGCAGTTGTGGTTTTGGCACATTTTCAATGACAAAACAATAATGCGTGGCACACCATATTAACAAGTGGGAACAAGATAATTAAGGGTATATCACCAGCAGGGCTCTGTAGATGGCAAAATGTTAAGTGAAAATAAAATACAAACAAAACTGGCCCACTGATTTGTTAAGATTTTTTAATATAGCCCTTTTAATGGTGGAGTTTGACACCCCTGTTCTACACATGCTATCTTCACAAATTACAGCACTTTTGCCCATGCTAAGTAACAAGTAACTCCTACTTTCCTACTTTAGCATCTTTTGAAAACAGAAAATAGCTACATCAGATACTTTCTATGAAACAGTCTTAGATGTGCAGCCTGTCACATTCAGAAGAAGAGCTGCATAAAGAGCTGAATAATGCTGCATCTGTCATTGCCCCTAAGCAAGCTTTATGGTCAGCAGCTGTGACAGAGGAACAACTAAACAAACTTGCATTAGACAGAAATGTACATAAAACCATTCTGGAAACAATATGGGCTGAGAAATGCTTTACGTGGTGGCTAGAACAAAATTAAATTCAGGTAAAATGGGTACACATTCAAAAAAATTGAGATGAACCTGATTCTGCTATATATATATATATATATATAAAGGCTATGTTGGCAGCAGGAGTTGCCATATTTAAGCACTTTTGATACAATGTTCTGGGCTTCTTCGCTTTACTTTTTTCTTTCTGTTGCAGAGCTGTTGGGTACCAGCAATAGAACACTCAAGGTTATGTGTAATCATGGATAACATCACGATGATCCACAGACTCATGCTTACAAACAAATTCACCATAGCACACTCTCTTTCTTGTGTTCTACTGCTTACTTGAACTTGATGAAAAGTTACTGTTGTGTGTACAGTCCTGTGTTGTGGAAAGGAAAAACATCCTGTTGCCATGTTCTTGCCACTTGTTGACAACAAAACACAGAAAAGTGCAGAATCAATTGTGTGAATGTAAAATGAATGCATATGTAATTCATTGCGTAACTTACTATGTAAATATTTAAATATAATGAATAAGATAGCAATTACGTAACTAAATTTGAACAGTACAGCAAAATTAAAGTATTATATCTTAACTTTTAAGGAAAAAGTGATTAGTGATGAGCTCCAAGATTTTACCACAGTATGACTCTGCAATGTCAGTAGTTTTACAGAAGTAGCCTTACAGCCTTCTTTAATTTGCTAAGCTTGGCATTTTGTTAGTAACAACAGTCCTGTTCAGATACACCTTGTGGTAATGCAAGAACAAACCCTGCTAACAGATAATAAACATGACAACAGACGAGTAATTACCCTGGCTACTGAGTGATATGTACATAACAGGCTATGACTTCTCAGTCTGGGATATCTGTGGGAATTTGGGGAAATTACACAGATGCTTTATCCATACGAACCAGCTAGTCAAATACCACAAATTACATTACAGGACCTCCTCTAGTAAAACAAATCCAGCTCAAATAGTGCACAGCCCAACATAAAACATTAATGAATTCTTTTTAACACTTGACGGCCTTTCTGTGCAAAAAAGATCAAACCAATCTAATTTCCTGCAATACTCAAGAATGATTCAATAAACTAAATGGTCTGTAAATGTTAAAGCTACCCGATCCCCTTTATTCAGGTCTTTTTGTCAGGTGTGTGCTCTCAAATGCTACACTTTTCTGTGGCCTCATGTGCTACTATTACCATGGTAATAGCTGGGATTAAGTTACAGGGCTCCTAGGGGCATCATCTATTCTAAAGCTGTATGTACAGGCCGAGAGAGAGAGGGAAAAGGATGCACATGGCTTGGCTTAAAGAAAAGACAAAAACAGACAGACACGGTACATAAAAGGTGGAGAAAGTGAGAAAGATTGAGAGAAAGAGTGAGAGAGAGGAAATGGAGGAAAGCAAGACGTGGTGCTTTTGCAATGCCTGTTCCTGTTGTTTTAAGGGTGAGTGAAAGAATTAATTAGAGGATTAATCATTGAAGCTGAAGCTATTTTCACTGGTTCCATTTCAAAGTGAGTGGCCTTTGAGCAATCGTGACGATGTGCACTGTCTGACCTATCAACCTTTTATTCAATTCAACAACAGCATGAAGGATTATAGGGTGAAACTCCATGTTTGAGGTATGTACTAGCATTCCACCAAGTTGGTAGCATGCCAGCATTTCTAAATGCACTTCATCGTGGGCTCCTGAGCCCTGCTGGAATGTGGAGATGCAGCAGATAGCTCTCAAACTGTTCTTGTTCACACAGGTGACGCTAATAGGGCTTCAGGGAGCCCATTAGGTAACAGTGAGGTGAGACTGGGGTGTAGATCCAGCATAGCCCGGGGCTTTACAGAGGTGTGCAGTTACTAAACCGCCTATTAGTCCTGATAAGCAGAAGCCTCCCAACACTCTGATTAGTGCAAAGACAGTGTCAGGCCTGAGGTTACAGAGAGGGTGGTCTTTGTGTGTATGTGTGGTGAGCTGGGGGATGGCACCAGAGAAGAGACAGTGAGTGGGTGTATGTATGTGTGTCTTACCTCTCCCGACATATCCGGAGCCAGAGGGATGAGAGGCCATAGAGAGGAGTAGATGCCAAAGAACACTACCCAAAGTCCAATGCTGCCCCAGATAGCTATATGACTGAACTATATGTGGAAAGAAAGATAACACAAAGAATAAAAGTTCACTATCTCAGAAGTCCTGCTTCAAAGACACACCATTCATAGACACACCATTCATAAATACATATGTTAATTTCCACTGCACATATTAAAGGGGGAGTGGTGGTTATAGGAACCAGACATCTTAAAGAGCTTAATGTCTCTGAAAGCTACCTCACAAAAAGCTATTACATGGTTACAAGGAAATATTATGGAAATTACATGGAAATGGTTATGATTGCTACCTAATGACTGTAACATTGCTTTACAGTAGTTGAGATAAGGTTGGGGTCTAAAACATTTTTTTAAAATATACATTCATGATGGAGAAGTACATGCAGGCTGTTGTGAGGCAAAATAGTCCCCAAAGAAACAGAGAAAAACTTTTTTTTTTAGATTTACCACTATTTCACCATTATTAACATTACAAATAAAAACTAAGAAGACACATGTAGGTTCATTGGTGGTTTTGGATAGTAAATAAAATGGCTACATTTGTGTGACCCCTGGTTCCTATCACCACCACTGTGAAGAGAGAGAGTATTTTACATCTCCAATATTCAGAAAGGTTGAAAAATAAAACTGCCCTGTAAAGTGATTCCGTTTTTTGCGTAATTTGAAAAGTCCACTTGCCCTTTGCCTTCTGTTAAAATGTCATGATCAACAGACTAATAGAAATGACACAAAATTACTTGGAAAAACTTTGTTACATTAACTTCCATTACAAGTTAAGAATGTTTTTACTTCTCCTTTAAAGTTAGCATTTTGAAGACATAAGGTTTTGTTCAGATAGCAACGATATATTGATAAGTGAGGTTGTGTTAACCTTAGATTTGATATATTTAGGCAGGGTTACTATGGAGGAAAACAAAGATCAATTCCTAAATGGTCATTTGAAAACTGCTCTAAACAGATCAAATATGGAGCTGCATATGGTAGGATAAAACATTCTATTGAAAGAGAACACAACAACTGTCACTTTCAATTTCATTAAGTTACGATGTGCTAATCAGTCTGAACCCGGTCATATAATTCAATGTGTAGAAGGGCTGTGCTGTGTGAACTCATTCTGAACACTGTTTGAATGCATAACAAGTAATTTGTGACCAGTTACTATCGGTACTGAAATAACATTTTGACAGATGATCTAAAAATGTGAAAAATGTGTCGTTTTTACATACACTACTGTTCAAAAGTGTGGAATCAAGTTTAGAATGGTAAATGTGTGAATGATAAACAGAGCTAAAGATGCTTCCATAACGACTGAGAATGTTGTACAATACTGACAATGAAGTTATAATAAAATGAACATCCAGAGAGCCGCATATCTGCAAAGTGGTGACCAATGGTGAAATAGTTTGGGTTCCCCAAAAAGCTTGAAATATTGAATAAAACTTACAATACATTTTGGTGTCTAGTTTATTTCAATCGATACTGTATAAGTAATTATTGAATAAAATAACAATTATTAATATGACACAACAGCACTGTATGCACTACTATGACATCGGTACTAACAGCGACCTTAACAGAGAGAGAGAGGAGGGTGGGGAGGTGTCTGCACTAGGACAAAGAAGAGTGCGGAAATGGGGAATAAGAGCAACATAGAGAAGAGACGACTAGAGCACAGAGAGATCCTTACCATGGTCCACGAGGAAGTCTCCAACCCTGCCTTCAGACACACAGTGATCACCACAAACTGAAAGACACAAACACAACACTCTAAGATCATTTGATTTCAACATTGTCGTTGCAGACTGTTTACTGCAAACCTAAAACCTGTTGAAAACAGTTAATAATGGTGGGTGATAGTGCAAGAATATATTACACTTACAGATGCTATTTTTTCTTTTATGATACTGATACTGATATAGAAACTTTGAGTATTAGCCGATTCCAATTGGATATTTCTTCTTTAAAAACTGCTAAGCTTTAGAATGAGCTATTTTTAATTTATGCATTCGAGATGAACATATTCATAAGGCTATAATTCTCAAACACTCGACTACCCCACAGAAATAAATGACTGGATTCTTTTTCCCCCCTTCGATATTCAATATGGCACTTTCTGCTGATGTTGACCCGATACCAGCACCTATAAATACTGATATGTCATCTCTAATCACAATATGTGACATTTTTTTTTCTACATGAAATGAATCATGATATTTAGTTTTTCTGTGGTTAGCCAACAAGTTTGGACAAATTGAATCAGCAAAACAGCCTAAAAAATGCTATAAAACAGTTTAATGTAAAAAAAAAAAATTAACAAGGAAGAAAGTATATCAATTGGTGTAATAAATGAATTAAATAAGATAGATGATGTAATTAGTTGAGGTGCTACCAGCTACTAGTCAAACTGCAGTTTTTCCAGTTTACTGTCTCTCTATAATTGGTCTTAATCTCTCATTTATTATGACACATGTAGTTGTTCATTGTTCTAGAAGTACTGATGAAACACACGATAAACTCAGTAAAGAGAATCATGATGTAACTTGTCATGACAATGAAAACATATTGTCATACAGTCTACCCTTAATGGTCAGAAATGTCCAGTATGTGAATGCAGGAGGATGCAGCAGAGTGAAATTTATTCCGTTATATAAACGTAAAGCAGGGAAAAGGAAACCTCCCAATGCTGCACTACCCAGGAACATTTCACAGCAAGACATCAAGGACAGGCTATCAGGCACAGGCTGGACACAGAGATGCTTTGTGAGGACTCAAGAGTTTGGTCCCTTCTGAGCAGAGCATGAACACACAGCACACACACAATGGGCTCCACAAGCCCCTTCACTCACTGTGTACACCATGTTCCCCAGCAGCAGATAGTCTGGAGTCATTCCGTTCCCAAAGACTGTATCTGTGAGGAGAGTCAACAAGAAAGTATATTATATTATATATATATATATATATATATATATATATATATATATATATATATAAAAAACATATAATAATGTAATCACCGATACCTGATATGTTTTGTGGTAAATGATTAAATAGAATCCAGTATTTTTAGTTAAACTGCTCTACTGACTAAATAGATGGCAAGTTTTCAATTCTTAAACTCAAACAGGAGAAAGTCTTAAATCAAAGAAAAAACAAATCACTTAAAACAACCTTATAACTTTTCCCTGAAACAAGTAACATGAACTCTCACAATGCTGAACTCTCAAACAACAGTTTCTTTAGTGCGTTTGATTTTTCAGAATAGCATCATATTAGTTTACTTCCTTAACATTTAAATGGCCCATATCATGGAAAACTTTCCTTGTCCTTTTATTACAAAACGGAGCTTTACGTAGGATGTAAACATTGTTAAAATTTCAAGATGTACCCTTAACTCTCCAGTTTATACAGTGCATGTATGGAAACTAAATCGCCCAAATAACCTGTTTTGATTGTTTTTGTGATGCCATGAAAACCAAAGTATTTACGTATATAGCAACATTCAGCCAACAGCAGCTTAGCCCCACCCACTCACACTGGAGTTATAAGGAGTGTTTGAACTGGGAATGCATTTTTGAAGGAGATATACAATACAGAAGAGCCAATCAGAAAAGACATTATTTACATATATCAGTCTGAAAGGCACAGTAACAAAACAGCCTGTTTAAAGAGGGATAAAGAGAGGTTGGAAAATGGTCATGTTCAAATGAACTATGAATATTTTTGATAAATAAAACCACATAAAAAAGAAGTGGACTCCAGGGAAAAACTTACAAAATGTTAACAAATGTAGCATACAGACCCTTTAAAAAGACATTATCGATGCTTTACCTGGGGAATTTTCATACTGGTCAACACCACAAAAATAACTGGAATCCATTACATTGGTATATTTTATCAGTCAGGAACTAGACCCTTTAAAAAAGATGGTTCTTCGTAGGTTCTGCTTAGAGGGCTCTCTGCATCATGAAAGCGTTCTTCAGATTGATGGAGAATGTGTTGTATATGGTTCTACATAGACCCATTGTCTTTACTAAAGAACCCATGATGAACTATCGTTTTTAAGAGCATGCCCACACACCCACAGTCCAACACAAGACTCCATTAAGACACACAACTCAAGATAAACTCTTCATATTGTCTAAACAGTCAGTGGAAAGCAGATTCTAAAGCATGT